TCCTAATTCTTAGACGAAAATAGATCAGGCACTATAGCACATAGTTGCTTGATTTTATCCGTCAACAAACCCTTTGGGATTGACGTCAAGTTCAGCAGTTATTGATTTGATACTTTATGTAAAATATGCTGACTATTCCATGAACATTATAGATAAATGTTTCTATTTTGGAGGTTTTCCTCTGGGTTAGTTGTTTTTCGAGTGCAGCTGTATTTCATAAAATTTGATTAAACGCTCTCGAAATTGTCAAGTTCTTTTCACTCATCATCTCATCGAATACAACTCTTCTCTGGTGTTTCTGTGTTTAGCTTTCTAGATGCCCAGAAGATGGAGGTATGGCCGGAAACGAGTGAATCCCTGGAACTCCCAGCCACCTGGTCATAAATCGGTTCCGCTCTAGTTTTTCGCCTTGATTTCGGTCATTTCCTGCATGTGGAAACGATAGTCACGTACGGCTATTGCTTCCGGTACAGTTTCCGCCTGAGAATATGCTTGTATCTCGCGGCAATGGGGAATCAGCGGGATTGTGATATTTTCAGAAACAAGAATTCTCTTGTTTCCAGTCCAATTACAAAGATCGCGAGCGATAAAAGCTATGCTGGTAAAATCGCCATTAATATAAGTAGTTTTTGACTGTTCAATTTCACCATTTCCTCAACAGACACTGAAATTATTCTGAAGGATTCTGCTGGTCTCTCAATAATTTTCTTCAGCTTCAATAATCGAGCAAGACGATAGGAAAAGACATTAACAAAATATTTTTCTATCTTCGAAAGTACTGGTATCTTTCCAGAAACCAATTCATGGATTCAAAAAGTGGACTAAACTGAAATCATGCTTTCCGGGATTAAATGCTCTTTCCGCTACTATGTAAGGCCGACTCTCCTCTCAGTTCGTGGACTTCTTCACAAGAGATGAGAAGAAATCTTTCATGCTTCACAATTCACGTGAAATTTCCGACTGTGACAATGGCACTATGGGAATAACACAAAGTGCTAATCATTCCTGCGCATTTTTGTTAAATTTGAAGTAGTAGAAGATAGCTGGGTTTTCCGCAGTTGGTTTGCTTTCTTCCAGATACTGTGTACGTCACTCGCGTTTTTTTTTGAGAATAGGATAGTCCACGCCTAACGCGTTCATCGTAGGTACTTTCACTTGTTTACAACCCTTCTGCTCTTCCATTGTCTTCGCTACTGGCCCAATATCTATTTTTTATCGATGTCGTAGCCTTTCAGAAAGAAAACTAGAGATGATGCGATGCTAAAATGCTCCCTTTTAGAAAACCCAGAATGGGGATCATCATAGAGTATAATTTATCTTTGCAATTCATGCTCACTTATGATTTTCTATATTTTTACCCAAATAAGTCCTTTCCAAAGATCTTTGAAAGGATCTCAAAAAGAAAGTGACGCTCAAATACTCGCTGGATGAAAACTATACGCTGGGACATCCTTGAGTGAAGTTTGTTTTTGAAATTGATGCTTATTTCGAAAAGAAATAACTATCATGACTGTTCGGGATTATAATCTCCATGAAAATTGAACTTAAAATTCTAGTTATCAATGGTAAGACCCTTGGTAAGATTATATCCTAGTGTTTGCGCGTGACGTTTTAACATTGCGTCTCAGTTGAAAATTTATCTTTTTTGTTCTGACGTAGTGTGAACAAGCTCAATCAGTAGCTTGTGCTCCTTTTGGCTGTAATTAGTGTTGCTGGCTGAAATTTTTGATTATTGCGACTTATGTTTTCATGTTAGGGGTGTCTCACCGAGGCTTTTATAAAACATGTGGGCTGATCACTGTCAGATGTATTAATATGATTTCCCCTGACTTTGCTTTGTTATCTTGAAGTAATAATACTTTTTTCGGTAATTTGATGACAATTCATCCATTGATACCTTTGATAGGCATGTAGCTGATAGATGTTCATGCCACGATGTGGCCTGCACTTTGATAAGCATTTGTGGAATAAATTTGGTGTTCTGATCATTTAAAGGCAATCACTCCAGCATATGGAGAAGATGAAAAGCGCATTTTTTAATATCTCATCATTGGGAGCTCAATTGACTCTCAAATTCAAACCTTTCATTAGAGTTTGACTGCGAAATAGAGAAATTTACTACGTGATTAGCGATTCTGGAATAGGTTGACGATTAACGCTTCTTTGGGATTAGTAGTGGTTTGGTTCTGGTTGCTGGTATTGATGAACGGTCTGGCATCCCGACTATCGCTTCTTTTTTCTACTCAATTTGTCCTATTGCCTGAACCTTTTCCGTACGCTTGAGAAGGCTGATGTGTAATTTTGTTTTTGGGCTACTACAGAAGCAACAGTAAAAGACGGCTTTAAGTGTTCATATTAGCGCTAGAAAGCGTGTTGGTGAGCGCCCACAAGCATAAACTGTGTAACTCGAATTTCCTGTCAGATCATTTCCGCAACACTTCCAGCTGATCCCTTACATGTTTCGGTGAGTTTCCTATGATTTCTGCGCTTTTCCAGTCCGGAGTACAGCTACCGTGTTTCAATGTTTTTCCGATCGATTCCTGTAGGAAATTCAGTGGGTCTTGAAGAAATAGCGCCGAAAATTAATCGTATATGGTCGATTCTCGCTGGAATTAGAGACCGAAATAGGAAAACTGGGTTTCAGAAACACCAGCTGTACTAATGAAAAACCGTTGGAAGTGCAAACAAACTTTTGGTTATCCCTACAGGGACCAACCTTGAGAGTCAGATCTTCAAGATTCATGACAGTCATTTTTAGAGAGTCCTTGAAATATAATAGGATTACCGTTAGTAATTCATTAATTAACTTTCTTTGAGAAAAATATCAAAATAAAATGGTGTTTGCTTCATGTGAATCACTTAATCGCTTAATATTAATGCATTAAGGGTTAAACGAAAAAAGTTAATTTTAATATTAAGTGTTAAGTTTTCACTCAATTCTAATATCAAAATTAAGTTACCCAGTTAACACTTAATATTAAGTGTCAAGTGATAATTTAAAACTTGATTTTAAATTAATGTAAATGGTTCATCCCTACTTGAAACCCTGAAATCCTTATACCGAGTTCAAAATGTCGAACCCCTAGATGTTTTCGTGAACCTTTATGGAACTTCGATATTTTTCTCAAAATCTTCTTCAAACCTTTAAATCCTTGTACCAGATTCATACTTTCGAACCTTTCAACTCTAAAAGAAAGGTATTCTCGGAAACCGGCGAAAAAAAGTTTCCGAGTTCGAAAACCCATTTCTTGCCCTCGGCAACCCTTAAAAGGTTTCCAATAGTAACAAGCTCACAAACCGAAAAGGGTTTCGGAACCCTCGGATATCCTTTCAAACGTTTCAGAACTTCGAAAACCCTTTTCGGTTTCCGAGAAAACTTTTTTTTTAAGAGTATAGATAGTTAGTTGAACTTTTATGGAATTTTGGTGTTCTAAGAAAGAGCTCCTTGAAACCTTGAAATTCTTATACCGTACTCAGATTCTCGAATTTCTATATACCTGGTGAAATTTTATTGAATTTCGGTATTTTGTTGCAAATCTTGTTGAAAGCTTGAAGTCCGTGTGCCAGATTCATACTCTGGAATCCCAATAATCTTCCGTAAGCCTTTATTGAATTCCGGTACTTTATGAAAGCCCAGTTTGCTTTTGCACAATGTATTTAGTACCGGTGTAAAACTGATCAGAGAATGGAACAAGCCATGAGGATTTTGTTTGGAAACCTTGGGAGAATTCTCTCACTCCTTCTAGAAGTCTTGTTGTTATATAAGATCCACTTGAGAACTTCTAGAAAATACTACTATGTTTCGACTCCTTGCCCCCGATTTCTTGGGTAAAGCTCTCTGCTATGTCCCTTTTTACCAAAGAATCCTCTTCATGACCCAAATCGCACTGAAAACCTTCAAAAAGCAACAAGAATCTGTAATTCGGGGTCGTCATTTCCTTTCGCTCAGCTTTAAAAAGTTTTGTTATTTTCTCGAAAATCCTTTCCGTTAGTTCAAGAGTCCGGTTTCAAACTTTAGAAACCAATACTAGATTCCGATTCTGCGAGCCCGATTTACTTTCGCCGACCTTTAGGAAATATCGATATTTGAGCCCATGACAGAACTTATTCGAGAATTCTCAGAATACGCAAGAAAAAGATTTTTAGTTCAAAGTCTTATGATTCCCATTTATGACGAAAATCTCTCTCTTATATGGAGATGATCATTGTTATTCCGAGAACACACAAAAAGTGCACTCAGGAAACTCTCTCTTTATCTATATGCTATCTTCTGATTTTCTAGTACCAATGCGTGCACCGGCACGTGACATTCCTCCGAATACCATATGGGCACAGCACGGTGTCACTGTGGCTGGAGGTCATGGCAAAGGCAGCCACATGAATCAACTCAATGCGCCACATGGCATCTTCGTCGATGATGACATGACGATTTACATCGCTGATTAATACAATCACCGGATTATGACGTGGAAGGCAGGTGCAACTAGTGGACAAGTCGTTGCCGATGGTGATGGCGAAGGCAATGAGACGCATCAATTGAACCATCACTTCGATGTTATCGTCGACACAGAGACTGATAGTCTCATTATATCTCACAGAGACTCATGGCGAAGTGGTGAAGAAGTCGTCTGATGGCCTAGTCAAAGTGGCAATCATGGTGAAATCATACTTGACAATGCCTGTGCCAGCGGATTGACTATGGACAACAATGTTCATCAGTATGTCGTCTACCAAGCTCAACACGAAGTCCGACGATATCAACGTGGTGACACGGAAGGAACCATCGTTGCCGGTGGCAATGGGCAAGGAAGTGCTCATAACTGACTGTCGAATCCTTCCTACGTCTTCGTCGACGGGGAATACTCAGTATTTGTGTCTGAATGTGGAAATAATGCTCGTGTCACCAAGTGGCAACAGAAGGGATTGTCGTCGCCGGTGGTCAAGAATATGGATATAATCTTACACAACTGCATAGTCCTCAAGAGGTCGTTGTCGACCAAATGGGTACTCTCTACGTGGCTGACCCAGAGAATAATCGTATCATGCGTTGGCCAAAAGGAGCAAAACAAGGAAGGATTATCATTATTGGTAGAGCAGACGAAGCAGCACCATTCAATGGTCCAGCTGGTTTGTCCTTCGATCATCATGGCAATCTCTATGTCGCCGATGAGACAAATCACCGTGTTCGACGGTTTGATCTCCAAGGACTCCATTGCGCTGATTGAAATTTATTTTTTTTGTAAGGTGTGGGTGTGGGTGCGGTTCTGGGAGAGTTTGGAAAATATAATCACACCGACACCCTCACACCCATATCCAATCCACACCTACATCCACCCACACCCTATTCATTATTTTTCAAAACTATTAGTCAATCAATTTTGCAAAAATAAGAATCTTACGTCTGCTATTTTCGATTGCTAAGGTATGTAGTGGGCGGAGGGGGGGGGGGTGTATGGAGAGGAGGATGTCTGTAATGTGTACCTTCGCTGCTAAGTGTCTGTAATGGAGAGAGGGGAGTGGGGAGCCGCGAAAACTTGATCTTAAAACTTACACTCACTATTTTCTTCGACATAATTATATTTGAGTTCCACAAAACTATTTTGTAGAAGATGTATCATTAATAAGAATCGCACACAAGTTATTTTCCATTATGAAACCCAGGGAAAAACGGCACACTCCATTTCCAAGGAGTCTCAGAATCTGCTGTTTTTCCCTTGGGTTATAATCATAATTACTCATATATTGACAAAAAATATCAAAACCATACCAACGAATAGTATTCCTATAAAATAAATATTACCTTGAGAACAAAACTATATAAATACAAGAGTATGGGTGTGGGTTTCTGTGCACGCACCTTCACCCGCACCCTGGCTGTTTTTTGTTTTGCTTGAAATCTTAATAAGTTGGATTCTGTATGCTACATGAACGAGAAAACAAGATCTTTATAAAAACATAAAAACGAGTCAGTGAGATATATAGTTTTATACTATTTCGAGATTATTGTTGTGAAATATTCAAACAGACAACACCAATTGTTTTTTGTTCAAGTTAATATCGAGTAATTTACATGTGTATGCAATTAGCATGAAAATCAACTCGTTTCATACTAATGTAAAGATAATTTGATCAAAAGAAATTATTTAATGGTCTAACTAAATCACCCATAAGAGTCTCTCTAACGATACTCGTACTCTTAGAGAACTTTTCGACATTGATTCATGTATATTCAAAGAATCTGTTTTTCATTGATATTAGATATGCATCTTTTAGGCTCTTAATGTGACTAGTACAATTATTTTAACTGACAGAAGCCTATCTGGTGATAGTAGAACACTGACTGTACAAGTTTCTCAATCTCTTCTTTCAGTTCTTGTCGTCAGCTTTGAAGAATTGATCACTTATCAATACTCTGAAGCAGAATTACAAGTGGTATGCAGATGATTTTATTTTGACTTAAAAAAACAAACTTCATTATGCTTTCGTAACTTTTTACAAGTTAATTTTTATCGATTTAATATTAAGAACTAAAGAATTGAATGTTTTGGAACTAGACAAAAATATTTTAATGAGCATATCAAAGAAGTCTCTTTCAAGAACATGTCCATTCAAAATGTCACTTTCGAGTTAAGCCACGTCTGATTTAGAAATTTGATACTGGTAAACATCAACGTTTCATTAGTCGAATTAAAAAGAAGCAATATGTTTTCTGACTAATTTTAAGTATAGTTTTATTTTATTGAACCTATTGAATGTTATTTGTTAAAGGATCAAAATTTTTCTTAAATTGAGTGAGAGAATTGACTAAATATACTTCAAATGTTTCATAGTGAGATGATAGCCATCATTTATAGATTAAACTGTGTTATACGAGGTATTTTTTCTAACATCTCATAGAGATATTATTGCGGCTATTGAAATTGCACTCCTCCTCGTTCTCGGCCTCTTAGGTTTAGGTATCATGAGCACTGTTGATAATAGTGAGAATCAATGTTTTGTTTTTGCTGCATCAATAGTTCTCTACTTTGCGATTCTTATATGCATTACCAGTTTTATTTTTTCAGTAAATATTTTATCTACTAGTTGATTTATATTGATATTATATTTATTTCGCTTTGTAGATTATCATCATAACATTTTTCTTTCAAATTGTCAAAACTTATTAAAGTCAGAAAATCTTTAATCATTCAATCAAGCTAAGTTTTCGTTTACTCCTCATAATAATCAAATTAGCTTATATTCAGTTTTTTGTTGTAGCGTTTTATTTACTTTCTTTCCCACTTAGCAATCCGAAAATAAATATTCAAGATTTTTTTCTTGTTAATAACTTGCTGAATAATAAAGTTAGCTTTGCTCTAAGATCATGTCAAACGATGAATGTGACTCTCTTTCATTTACTAAATAGAAGATATGTAGTTGAAACAGCTTTGATATTTTTTTGGCATGATGATTTTGATCACTGGAATGATGATATCGAATGTATCGATTCACTATGATTGAAGTCTTTGGTATCCATCGTGACATAAAATTTGTTGCATTATCTTCAAGTTGCTTTTTCATTACTAGAAATATTCTGTTAAAAAATATTTATATAGTGTGAAAGTGCTCGTAGTTTTCTATTATTCTGTATATTTTACGTTTTATTTTGTATCGATTCACTGAATGATAAAATAGAGTACTATGAAAGCATTTTCATCGTCAGATTTGCACGAATTTACTTTTGACACATTTTCATCAATTAGATTTTTCAAGTAATTATACATTCTGATGAATACTGTGGATATTATTGAGACATACTCAATGGAAAATTCTAAAAACTTTTATGTTCCAACTATTTTTTTTTGCCTTCGTTTTTCATTTTCCAAATTTAGAATCATAAGAAATGTCGAATTCCACTAACATATATAGTTACATGTTTAAAAGTTCTTTCCATAGGAGAATATTCAACTTGAAATAAAAACGAAAATGATAACAGAAAGAAAAGAATATCTATGAAAGATTTCCCAATCAGTACTCCTAGCTTATACTCTCACTAGTCATTACAACTTAAAACAACATAAAGTAGAAATATAAAGAATTAAAGAGAACTTCAAGCGTTATCATCATGAATAATGACATCGATAAAATTTTATACCTGTAGTAACTAATGCTTGCAAACAGGCGACAATAAAATAAAGAATGGTTCTTTTGAGTTGAACGTATCATCATTGTAATCGACATTCTTTCCACAAACAAACCTAAGACAACAGATCAATATAGAGAGAATGATCGGACTTTCAAGCACTATCAGAATATGTATAACTACTTTTTTTAAAAACTAATTAAGAGCAATGCGTCAAAAGTGAGTTTCTGAGAATCTGATGATGAAAGTATTTTCATTTGACTTGATTTTTTTCCAACAAATAGATACGAAAACAAAATCATAAATATACACAATAGTAGAAAACTCCGAGGGCTTTCAGAAATTAGAATTATTTTTTTTAAGTATATCTTTATGGTGACAAAATGTCTGAACAATCGACTACAACTATTTTCTCTAGAGATATTTGCCATTAATTGTTCTATTCGATTGAGGTACCGTTAGATTGGTGTATTACAAATTGAATCATCTAAAAGGATGATTTAAGTATGTTTTAACTTTCACATCAATCATGTTCAGCTTTAATATGTCTAGTCTTTTTTAGATTAATTTCTTATAATTCACTATTCATGAATTGTTAGTTACAAAACCAATAGTATAAAGCAAAATATAACTATTCTAAGATGTATGCACAAAAGGTTAATAATTGTCAATGTGTAGTATCATTTATAATGTGCATTTTTTAAAATAAATATCCGTTTGTCAAAAGATTTCTTTGATTATGTATAATCACACTCATATAAAGTTTTCATGAATCAGTGTACTTTTTGCTGATTTGAAATTTAACACGATTACATTCAATTTGTGACAAAATGCAAGAATTTTCAACAGTCAAAGAACAGAGTATGCCGATAGATTTTGATTCAAGAACGAAATCCGCTGCATTAATATCAAGGGAAAATTCTATACAGAAAAAGTACTTTTAATATGATCAGTAAGACCTATTTTTTTCCACTATCATTGAAATGTAATACAAATAAGCAAACAAACAAGTAGTTATGATGGTTAGTCCTTACATACTTGTCTTTAAACGTTGCCATTGACTAAAGATCCTCAAATATACAACGAACTCACAAAATTCAATTGCTCATACTTGGCGTGTGTCTTGCAACTTTTTCTTTTTCATTTCACTATGATTGGACTCTATAATGATAAAAATATATATTGTTTTTTGTTTTGTTTCAAATCTATATCAAATATATATATATATGATTTCATAATATTTCGAGATTATTGTTCTGCAAATATTCAAACATGAATGGAAATATTTTCAAATATTTTTTAAAAATAAATCATACAGTTCTCTTGAATTTTCGAACAAGAAATACTGAGAATGACTATTAATAAATAAATAAAAATATGTGCATCAGCTTGTTTGAATCAATAAAATCAAAAATATTGTCAAAACTTTGAATATTATGCATGGCTAGCCAGAAAACCTACGAAGGATCACTGTATTCCTAACGTAATTGGATTGATTGTTTTTTGAATATTGTCGAACTGAAGTCTATAACAATGTAAGATCATAGATTAAGTTTGTTGTAGTTAATATAACGTCATCTACATAAGTTGCAATAATCTTGAAAACTGATATAATTCTCTCACTAGATCTGTAAGTCTTTGTCTAATAATATGCGTACTCTTGGAGAACTAGGGCGTGGATGAAGAGACGGCTCACATTCACACCTAGATCCATATCCACACTCTCAAGCTACTGGCAATGAAACTTGAGCGAAAACAGCATGATATATCGATGGAATCATTACCCTGGACGAGAAATTCGACTGGTGGTTCCTATTAGATTTTGCCAAAATGACCTGGTAATCCGACAAATCATGGAAACTTTATCTCGTTCTCGACTCACCTCAAATACAGTATCTGATTGATCTTCTTCAATTCAGCTAAACGATTGTGAGATGCTATAGAAGTTTTGGATCCATTATATTTGTCTCAGTAGTGGAAAGTAATTATTAGCTTTCAATTTACAAATCGCAATAGTAAAAGAATAGCCTTCATAGATGTCATTCTATTATCAATGAGATATCCGGAACAATCCGGATATTAAAAAGATATTGTGGACTTTGG